TCCAGCATTGTTTTTTGTTTTCTTTTTTAAATGATTACCTGGTAACCCCTAGCAGTGATCCAGGTTCTCAGAGGTTTTTTTTTTTGCTCAGTAACTTTGGTTCCCCCCCCCCTTTACTTTACTTTACTTTACTTCCTGCAACAAATTTTTTCCCGGTGGGTTTTTTTTGGGCGGGTGTTCGGTGTTTTTCTTTCAGCCATCTGACAACCCTAGTCACAACAACTCTCTCTGTAGAGAGACGACGATACATCCTGCCTTTCTGTAGCCGTGCCAAGTGTTTTCATGTGGTATCTTAACACAATGTTTAAATCATCAACTGCTTGGAGGAAGACTCACAAAGAGTCTGTCCATCATCCACACCAGAGTGACACGGTGATTTCACTGCCGTGGAAGCAGACCCGATCTCTCTGTGGGTTCTTGTGGAGCAGCAGGAAGCCTGCGATGGTCTCTCAGGGGAGAGGCCGAGGGTGGCTCTATTTCAGTGGTTCTCCAACATTTTGGCCCATGGACTACCTGGCTCAATGTAAACCTTTCCATGGATCACCAGTTGCTAATGGAAACTCACTATTAATTACCCAATTACACCCAAGCCATTTTGGTAGTGCTGCAGCTAGGGAGAATGGTTTAATTTAAATAATTAAACAGATTAAGCATTTAACTTTCTCATTTTATTTTATCCAACTTCATTTTAAATAAAGTAAAATATTAATTTATGTCCAACACAAAAGGGTTCAATGTTTTCTTTATTTATGGCAGGGGTAGGCAATCTTTTTAGGGTCGGAGGCCACTGACAGAAAAATCAGTGGGGGATCACACAAGTGAGAAACAAAAAACTCCTTCCAAAACCCCCAACCCTCACTGATGTGGCCCCACCACCTGAGACACCTCACTTTTCTGGCGCTCCAGCCTCACGGGGTGACGGGAAGGGACAGGGAGGACTGAGGTTTAGGGCTTCCCATAGGCCAGATTTACTTTTCTGGGGATCCAGACTTAGTGGATTTTATAGGCCCCCTTAGGCTCTGGGTTAGGGACAAAACTTAGGGGTTCAGTGTATGGGACAGGGCTGCTGAGTGGGACAGCAATGGGATGCAGGATCTGGGAGGCAGGTGGGGTACAGAAGGGGGACAGGTTGCAAGGGCTGGATGCGAGGTAGGATGAAGAAGCAGGCTGGGAGTAGGGTGTCTGGCCAGGTGGAGGGAGCAGGACCATGGGAGGATGCAGTCTGTGGCCAGGAAGGAGGGTGTAGGAGCAACGGTGGATGAAGGATCAGGGTAGGGGTAGATGTCTTGCAAGTGGTGAGGGTGCAGGAAGAAGGGAAGGTATCAGAGGAAGCTGGAGGTGCGGGATCTTGGCAGGGGAAGAGGGGAGTGAATGAGGGGAATTGGGATGTGGGAGTCTGGCTTCATCACCCCTGTCAGAAGGGAAAGGTTCTGGACAGTGCTGCCATTGCCCCAGCAGGATGAAGAGGAGGAGGGAGTTCAGCTCTCCTCTCCCCTACGTGGTGGGCAGCCCCGCGGCAGAGTGAGCGGCTCTGTGTGCTGCAGCTCCCCCAGGGGCTGGGAAGGGGCGGGGAGAGAAAGTGCAGCAGTGTACAGAGTGCCCTGGTAGAGACCAACCATACCCCACCCCACAGCGCCCCAGCCGGGCTCCACACAATTCCTGCCAGGGCTCAGGCAGCAGCTCCAACGAACATCTTGCTGGGTTTTTCCTCAGACCAGCACCGCCCGCTCCAGCAGTGGTGGCGGCGGCAGCAGCCACTGTACAAAGAACAGTCTGCGGATGTAGGAGGCGGCATGGCCTGACTGGCGGCCCCGCACAGCAGAGACAGTCCTGTGGGGGGAGGGAAGGGTACTCTCGGAGGTGAGGGTTTGCCAGGTGGGAGTATGCACTGCAATGGAGCTCTGGAAGCAGCCCTGCCTGCCCATGGGCAAAGCACCAAGGGAGCTGCTTATATCCTGGGAGGAGTGGGGGGTTGCTGCTGTGCCATGCTAGCACTGTCTGCGAGGGTGTCCCAGTGGGGGCTGGAAATGGCAGAACCATTTCTAGCCAGATCCAGCCGGGCTTTCTGGGACATTTCCCTACTTGATGGATAAGTGGGACAGAACATTTGAGTTTGGGACTGTCCCGGAAAAACTGGGCCGTCTGGTCAGTATAGCTATATAGCACAGGGGCTGGCAACCTTTTCAGATCACAGACTCAAACTACATCAAAATTCAGAACAAGTGGTCAACAAAGAGCCGTATCAGAATGCCCATTTGCATGACTGAAAATATACAAATTAATATTCTTGATAATTGACATCATGATTAATGACAGCACAAATGAAACATTGTACTCGTAGACTTAATTTAACGGGACTTCTGCGGCTGCTTCTTTTCGCACATTTCTTTGAAGTTTACATCATAACTGGTGAAATCCAGCTTCATGCTCCCATTCCAGCTACATAAGCAATTAGACGTTTGTACAATTTTGAATTAATATTTTATTTTGATTTTAAAAGTTGCCTGTATTTGGGGAATGACAAACGAGCCATACTTTGCTCCTACAGCATAACCCCTCGCTGAGGGACTCTATGGGGCCTACAGGTCCCATCATGCAACACGCCACCTCTAAAGGGCCCACGGGAACCACAAGTCCCAGCATGCAACACACCATGGCGGAGGAGGACCCAGGGAGACTACAAGTCCCAGCATGCTCCGCTCCCGCCGCCCGGCGGAGCCGCTTTGCATACCGGGCGAGTGAATCTCAGCGCATGCCTCATCCCACACCAAGTGGTCTCTCGCTGCGCAGGCGCAGTGTTGCTTGCATCCCATAGACCGAAGTCGGCCACAGCGGGAGGCCGGGAGCTCGAGGGGGCGGCGGCCATGGCGCTGAACAGGAACCACTCGGAGGGGGGTGGCTCCCGCCGCCCGGCGGAGCCGCTTTGCATACCGGGCGAGTGAATCTCAGCGCATGCCTCATCCCACACCAAGTGGTCTCTCGCTGCGCAGGCGCAGTGTTGCTTGCATCCCATAGACCGAAGTCGGCCACAGCGGGAGGCCGGGAGCTCGAGGGGGCGGCGGCCATGGCGCTGAACAGGAACCACTCGGAGGGGGGTGGCGTGATCGTCAATAACAGCGAGAGGTGAGAGCCCCCGCCCCCTTCCACCGGGGGT